ACCAGTTTGGCCAAACTGGTCCAAACCAGTCTGAACTGGTAGGAACCCACCACTGATCCAGTCAGAGCTGAAGAAGCTTCTTGGATGAGAAGCAAAACATCTTCAAAGAAAAACCAGAAAGTCCAGTTGCCTCTTGAAAAAAGCACCTTTGGGATAATACATTTCTATTTGATAGGGGCAGCCTCTTCGGGGGTTAATCTTTTCTCATACCCTGAAATAATTTTTAAAAATCATAATTTTTCTTGGGGTGGGGGGGCATGTTTTAAGGGATTCACAACAGAGACTCAGCTGGTGAAGAATTTCCCACTACTGGGCTCTCCCTGTTGAATTGCAGCCTTCAAGTGGAAAAGGGTAACAACATTTACCTGCAATGTGCCAGCTCAAGGATTGTATAATAAAGCTGACTGCCCAGTGCCCACAACTACCTTCCTCATTTCCATGACCCCCTTTCAACTGGCAGGATGGCAGAGTGAAATTGCAACCTGCCATGGTATCTGATCAACAGATATACTGATTCCCAGAGGCCAGAAATAAGGAAGCGATCATGATGAGTGGCACCTCTATCCATCACTAATAGCCGGTGGGTTTACCTTTTTTTTTTTTACATTTGTGTGGGATGATATAGTTGCACAAGATGTGAGTCACTTGAAATATTAGCAAGAAGAAATGTCTTTGGTCAAGGAGAATTTGAAAGACCATGGAACTGGTCCCTGAATTATGGGTAGCAGTCCAATTTGCAAATGTGTGTCCAGTCTGATAACTGGAAAAATCTCAAGAAGATCATTTAGTCAGACTTCCCTGTTCCTCTTTATTTTCTTTTACCAAGTAGCAGCCCAAATATCGGGTCTGTAAGAAGCAGTGTTACTGAGCATGACCTGCATGAATTTTCTTCCTTTCGCAGATCGGGAGGAAGCGGAACTTTAACGTAGGTCTCTTATCAGAAAGACATATGGGCTTAAGGAAGACCAAAAGAGAATGGCCAGCTGTTATCAGGAGATAATGGGCACCAGAAAGGCCCAAACTCCTCTTGAGGCAATATTTTTATGACGGCAACTGAAAATGTACAAACTAGTTGCATATGTTCAAGTATTTTTTTTATCAGGCAAGATGATTCCACATAAGAAAAATGAGCAGAAGGTAAAATCAAATCGGGCTTAATGTGCAAAGGGTAAATCTAGCTTTCATGTCCATCCCCCTCCTTTTGCCCCCTGGATTTTTAATCACTTTGATTAATGAAGAAAACATTGAACCTTGAAAGCCTGAACATGCACACAATTTGCTAAATCCTCAGGTGGAGAATAAAAGTGTGCCTTTTGGATTTTTCTTTTCCTTCTGTCTATTGTTTTTCACATACAATACTGCTCTAAGCACTATTGAACAGGCCACAATGACTGGACATACCACATTAAGCAAAAGTCATTCTAGGCATATATACAGTTTCAAATACTAGTTCCTTTAAAAAAAACACCTAATGAAGTTGATTGACAATGTATTTTCCCCCTAACCATCAAAATTAGATGTATATGTAACTTTTGTCATGGTGAACATATTTTATAAAAGGCAATTATCAGCCTTAAATCTGACCAAATGCAATTTGTCTCCATCTTTCTGCAGCAAATGAAAGAGAAATTACTTTCTCAGAAAACAAATTATTTTCACTAGCCTTAAAAATAAAAAGAAGCAAACAAACCACCAATTCTCCATAGAATAAACGAAAAGTGAATGCAAGGAGAGAACAAAGGAAGCAATTCAGAGGTTGCCTTTTTATAAAAATGACACTGATAATGACCATTGTGTGAAAGAGAAGAGAATGGCCCACAAATGCAGTATCTTTAGTCATACATTACTGTATATTTGCTAGAACATAAGGATCTCTCTTTCCCAGAAATATTTTAAAAAATAATTCAAAACAGCATTCAGGAAAATGAATTGCCATGCTCTGATGTTTCAAAAGATGATATGCAAGAGTGTTTTTAAAGATTAATAACATTGAAAATATTTTGTTATGCAACAGACATGTTTTGATTTAATTTTTAAATTAAGACCCAGCGAAAGGTAGTCCCTTAGGTTATTTTTTAAAAGAATAAAAACAATACAAATGTTGACAGGGAAAAAAACGTAAGTAAAAAAAAAGTAATGCAGGAAAAATGCAAAGAAAGAAAAAAGAGAGGAGAGGAGGGGAGAAGAGGGGAGAGGAAGGGTGGAGATGAGAGGAAGGGGATGAAGAGGGGAGGAGGGGAGAGGAGGGGAGAAGAGGAGGGGGGGAGAGGAGAGGAGGGGAGGAGGGAGGGGAAGAGAGGGGAGGAGAGGGGAGGAGAGGGAAATGGTTCACAATCTAGGGACCTTTGTTCTCCACTAAGCTATGGTCTCCTAATTGAACTGATCTAGAGAAATAAAGGACACTTGGGGAGTCCTAAAAACCCATGGAGGAATAACACATGCAGGAAAGATCAAGAGTTCCACTCACAACCAGAAATTCCTTGAGATGGCTCTCAATGTTTTTGTTGTAGATGGTGAAGAGTGCAGCCGACACCTGGATGATAGCTTTGGCAAGGCAGTGGATATTGTTTCTATAACCTGCAGCAAAGAAATAGCAACAGTTGGGTTCAATCAATATAGTGGATGGTATTCTTAGTGATGTTGGACATACTACAGCTATTTGGCTTTGGCCAAAAGACTAAGTTGTGGCAGGAGGGAGGGGGGGCAATATTTCAGGGGCTGAGGATATAATCAAACTTCCTAACAGCCCCATTTTATGACTTTTCTTGTCACATTTGTTAAGCAAATCATTGAAGTTGTTAACTTAGTAATATGGTTGTTAATTGAATCTGACTTCCCCATTGTCTTTGCTTGCCAGAAGATTGCAAAAAGTGATCACATGACCCTGGGACACTGCAACTATCATAAATATGACTCTGCTGTCAAACATCCAAGTGTAAATCTAAAGGCGATGGGGATCCTGCAAGTGTCCTAAGTGTAGAAAAACAGTCCTGAGTCACTTTTTTCAGTGCTTGTTGTAATTTCGAACGGTCACTAAACAAACTGTTGTAAGTCGAGGACTACCTGTATGGTTGTAGATGTTCTTTGCATCTATTTTGAGAGGGACCTTCTAGCTACTTTTGCAAAATTAAAATCATATTCTGCTTGGTCAACTGGACTTTAAAATTTGAGGAGGCCCCTATATATCGTAGAGCCATTAGTAAGCTCCCAACAATGCAAGGATGTTACCCAATTTCCCCGTCTCCGTAACACAGTTACAATCCTGATCTTTGGCTGCTTTTGCTAAACAAAGGGAGTGGCCAATATTATCTGCCAAAAATTGTACTGTTGCTACCCTCAGGCAGCTTTTAAGAACTTTCAACAATTGCTTGAGCCAATGTGACCTGATTCAACGAACTCCTGTAATACAGCCAATGAGGGTTAAGGTAGGATGGCTAAACTTGGCTTCACACTCCAAAGAAACCCAATTTTAGACATATGCTTGGAAGCGTTCAAATCGCCATCATAAAAATTATATTATGGCAAGAGGGCATGAAATGCTGGAAGTAGTCCAGAGCTCCTTCTGACTATCATTGCTGTTAGGAATATAATCTAACGGTTGGGTTGGCAANTATCTATCTATCTATCTATCTATCTATCTATCTATCTATCTATCTATCTATCTATCTATCTATCTATCTATCTATTTTCTGCCTTTATTATTTTGCAAAAATGTCTCAAGGTGGTAAACATATCCAACATACCTTCCTCCACCTATTCCCCCCAAACGACAACTCTGTGAGATGAATTGGGCTAAGAGAGAGAGAGAGTGGCTGGCCCAAAGTTACCTTAGCTGACTGGCTTTCGTGGCTTTACAAATAGCTTTGAAAGCCAGAAGGATTGCCCAGAAACATTCAAACAAGAAGCCAAATGCTCTCTCTCACACACACATAATATTCTCTCCTGTGTGTGTGTTTTGAAATCCAGGATCCCATTCAAGGAACTAAAATCTTTGTCAGGCTGACGTCGCTGATTGTATTAGAAGTTCTCTGTAAGAAAGGGTTGTCTTCCGTTATTTCAAATTAACTCCCTTTAATATTTGACAGAATTGATTATATCGAGAGAGTTCCTTTTGGGAGATGGGTAGCTTTATAAATTTAATACATACGTAAATTGAAATGGGCATTTCCCATTAAAACCTTCTTCAAATGTAAAGACTGCAAGATGTACTGCTAATTCTTAGGATGACAAGATTTAGTTGGGTTCTTACTTTTCACTTTTTTCTAGAGATACTCTGTAAGGTATCTTCTTTTCCCAACTTGCATCAATAGGATAGAACTCCAAAAACATTTTCCCACACCATATTGCCTTCATGTCATCCCGTGCCCATGAGTCACCCTTAATTAAAAATAGCATTCCCCCCCCCCCCGTTTTTTTTCCTGGCACCAAGGATGGTAAAATCCATTAAAATTTATCCCCATTACTTTGGAAAGAAGTCAGGTGATTAGTAGGAAAAGAGATGAAGGATAAGATTAGCAGTAAGGGCAGACAAGTTCATGCCTGTATACCTGTCAACCTCGAAACGGATCAGGCCTCCTGCAGCCACTTTTTCCATTTCTCAGATTACCACACAGGTGGTGGTGGGTGGCCTGGAATGTCAGCCTAGACAAGAACAACAGGCCATCCCATAGGAACCAGAGGTGGTATTCAGCCAGTTCTGACAGGTTCTGGAGAACCAGTAGCGGAAATTTTGAGACTGGGAAGGGAATGGGGATTTTGCAGTATCCTTCCCCTGCCACGCCCACAAAGCCACGCCCACAGAAGTGGTATTAAAAAAAATTGAATCCCACCATTGATGGGAACCAAGCAGTGGTGGGATTCAGCCAGTTCGCACCTATTTGGGAGAACCGGTTGGTAACTTTCTAAGTAGTTCAGAGAACCGATAGTTGGAAGAAATCTCCTTTTGTTTTTTTCCACTTTACAGGGCTAATCCTGTAAGGAAGGCAGGAAGGAAACATTCTGGTGTTGTTTCTAGCCTAATCTTTATTGCCCTGCTTACAGAAACTGCCTCTCTGGTTAACCCTTGTTACATTGTAACAGCATTGTAACAGCATTGTAACAGCAT